TTTCTTCATGCCAAAGTTTTTAGCATTGGTAATTTTTGCTTTTGCTAAAAAAATGATTTGACATGACTCTTTCTTCAGTCATGTTATGACTAACTTCAGTGTGGTCTGAATTTCAATAAGACAATCAAGAGTGAATTCCCTTTAGCTGTTCACCATCTATTGAAACATGAGCAGACACATAGATGGACTGTTGTGTTACATTTCCAGAGGGAAATTTGCATGGACAGCTGCATTAATCTCTTCTTTTTTCAATTTTTAACGGACACATTCTGTAGCACTGGGTTTATTGCTCCCATCAAGGGTACTTTTTGGGCTTAAATGTTGCAACTTCTCTTAAGTAAAAAAAATGTATAACAGGACGCCTCAGTTCAAATAATAAACCAATATAAAGATCAACAGTAAAATCATGACCTGTACCCACCTGGAAATATATCATTCAGATTAACAGGAGGTTTATTGGTGTCTATTGTTAACTTGTATTCTGCATTCTTCATAGGATAGACAGGCCGAACTATTAATTTTAACGGTAGCTTCACTTTAGCTGTTACTATGCGTGGAGCTCCTGAATTGGGATAAAAGAATTATGATTTCTTTGCTGTGAAGTGACTTTTACACCCTACTTTTCAAGATCTTTCAGAAGACATTCAACTCCATGCAGTGTACAATGAGGTGAATGTGTGCAAACTTGCCTACTCTGTCACAATTTCAAACTGACCAACAATCCCTTACTTGCACATCACGAGAAACATATAATTTTTACCATTCACACAACAGATATTTATGTTTTGCAAATGTAACCATTTTACCATAGCAACAGTGAAGAGGAAAAATCTGTCACCATGGCAACAGAACTGTCTGTGAGGAACAAAAAAGGGGAACTTACCCACTGCATTAAGATATCTTGCAGTGACTTCAGAAACTAAATTACAAGGTAAACTGTGACCTTTGATATAGTATTTTACACTGAGTTCTGTACTTTTACCAGATTCTACGACGAATACAAAACATAATATTTCTGCTTAATGAAATCATTGCGATTGGCTATATTTCAATGATAGCAGCAAAATGTCTGTTAAATACAACTAAGAATTTCAACCAGTCAAAATTTTTTAAAATAATAATCCCAATTGTGAAATTCATCATTTTCAAGTTGCACATCACTCGCTTTACTTCATTTCCCGCCAAAACAAAGATGGCGTCCTATAGATCCAAACACATTACAAGGGACAATATTTAACAAAATTTTTTTAAATAATAATCCCAATTGTGAAATTCATCATTTTCAAGTTGCACATCACTCGCTTTACTTCCTTTCCCGCCAAAACAAAGATGGCTGTAAGTCATAGGGCCAAACACATTATAAGGGACAACATTTACTTTTAGAATTTATCCTTGGCAGCATGCAACTTGAAAGTAGTCAATTTAACAAATTAACACATAACTATCCAGATGAGAAGGATTACAGTTATTTGATTCGTCAATAAAATTGATTGCTAAAATCACTGTTAATCTGAACTCTCTCGAATCACCATGTTTATAAGAATTTGGCCCCTAATTAAGAATCAGACTGTCTTACCTAGTGAAGGGATTTCATAGCTATATTGACTGGAGGCTAGAGGCCAGTTGGTATGTATATCTATCTGTATATTCTCAATCAATGTTTTGGATTTTACAGTTATCTGAAAAAGAAATACATAATAAAGACTGTTTCGTATCTCAAAATTCTTACAGTCATTGAAATTAATTTTTAACCAGCTGATAAGAGCTCAATTCCTGCTATCTATATTTACTTTACCAGCTGGTAGAGCTCAATTCCTGCTATCTATATTTACTTTACCAGCTGATAGATCTCAATTCCAGCTATCTATATCTACTTTACCAGCTGATAGATCTCAATTTCAGCTATCTATATTTACTTTACCAGCTGATAGAGCTCAATTGCAGCTATCTATATTTACTTTAACAGCTGATAAGAGCTCAATTTCAGCTATCTATATTTACTTTACCAGCTGATAGAGCTCAATTGCAGCTATCTATATTTACTTTAACAGCTGATAGTGGTCAATTCCTGCTATCTATATTTACTTCACCAGCTGATAGTGCTCAATTCCTGCTATCTATATTTACTTTATGAGCTGATAGAGCTCAAATCCTGCTATCTATTATTACTTTACCAGCTGATAGTGCTCAATTCCTGCTATCTACATTTACTTTACCAGCTGATAGTGCTCAATTCCTGCTATCTATATTAACTTTATGAGCTGATAAGAGCTCAATTCCTGCTATCTATATTTACTTTATGAGCTGATAGAGCTCAATTAAGC